CAACAACAACAACAACAACAACAACTTACAAATAAAGTAGTTTAAAAAATATCTACAAAATTTCCATGAACTATCGACGACTAACAATTGCGCACAAACTAAAGAATTATTAGTAAGAAATCTAGTGAATAAATGGCTCTTAATGGTTCTTTTTAAAAACAAAAACTGGGGAGGGGAAAGAGAAGGAATGCAAAGGATTTTCGATGTTTTCTGTTAACAAAAGTCATAAGGAATTTTTCTATACACCAAGTACCGCTTTATAACTTCCTGCTTGACCTAGAAACGGGCTGGAAGTAAAACGGATATTCGGCGGGCGGCCCGTCGGGATGGCTTTTGATCAACATCACGTAAAATGTTCTTCCGTTACGTAAATTTGAAGCAAAAAATCAGATACGATCCAAGAGCGATGATCTTAAATTATAACGCTGTTTTCGAGCACGTAGAAGATAAAAAATCAAGTCTTTCGTTATCAAATTTGACTCAAATCTTAAAATAGCATCATTGCTTGCGATAAACAGGAAGGTGACTCAGTTTTCTATGTGCACCGGAAGTATTCATGTAGATCGCGTGCGGATTTACTTCCGCTATAATAAGACATGGTCAGAGTACGACTAAATAGAACTGCGGGCGTCGCATAAATGATTTATGATTTCTATAGCGCATTTTCTATATGAATATAATCAAAGGCACTTTACATTGGGTTGTGAATGAGATTGCTTTTTGTGCAATTTACAAGCATTAGAGATGGTTAGTATGAAGTGTAGGCACTGAGGGTGGTCACTGCCAGGGTTTCTTTACGTCCTCAGTGGTTCTTTTACGTCCCTCTGATATTGGTTAGTAATGATGAGTGTGGAGAGACGGGACCACCATTTAAAGTGGTCATCCGAGCCACGTGAAAGTCTAACCATTTGCAGATGTAATTACAAAGGCAGCACCTTCTCCTCAGTTATTTTAAGACCCTAAGTGTTGGTCCAAACCACGACCTCCCGCACGAAAGTCCAATGCTCAACCAACTGAGCCAACCGGTTTGCGGTTAGACTATTCACTTAATGTAGAATCAATACTGAAAGTATTGTATCAGGGGTACGGTTGAGTGAAATGAGATGAGCGAACTAAACTCCACTTACCATTGATACCATTTTATATCCCATCTTGGATTGTATTCTTCAGCAACAGTTTGTTTGGTTCGCTTGCTTGATTTTGGCTCGTGTACCTAGCGTCGATTTGATTTTAGAACATAGAAAATTAATTTTTCGTTCAAGATCTTTCGTTTTTCATAAGTTTAATAACTTAGAATTGATTTTAGCAAACAATTGTCAACTTAAAATAGAAAAAGGTTCAATTTGAAATTATTGAAAAGTTGAATTCAATTTACGATTTTTCAAAAAAAAAAAAGGAATACAATTTTGACTCCACTAAGGGAGGGGTGCGCTAGTCATCTCGACTCTACTTGTCCGGTAATTGAAATGTGCATGCATATCTACATCTAATTAAAAATGGCGACAGTATTGGTAGAAGTCCTTGTATTGGACGACCTTATTCTCTACTTTTCCATAGCATATAATGTTTTGATGTCTGGGGGGTAACCAATCAAAAAACTGTACCAAAATGAAACGTTCTTCAATCGAACGTACACTATTCCTGCTTTTATCTGTGAAATACTGAAAATCAGTTCGTTCTAAGCTAATTTTGATTTGCGCGTTCAGAACATCAACGGGTTTTGTGTTTCAGAAAATTTATTGACTTCAAATTAGAAAAAAATATTTTAAACTTCTTCAAGCTATTATCTCTTTCTATTTCTTACTGTTCCATTTTATATTTGGATATCAAACGAGGTATTTTCAACATTATCTGATCATCAGCCTTCAGAAAAATAAGTGAGGTTTGAATTAACCATTCTTTTGCTTGTTTTTAGACGTTTCGTTTTGGCTTTTGTTATCGTAAAAACATATCGCTCAAGGATTTTCTTAGTCTCCCCCACAGCCGCTTTCAGTGTCGTCACGCAACGCTTTCTCCCCTGAGCTACTCAGGGGAGAAAGCGCTGCGTGACGACACTGAAAGCGGCTGTGGGGGAGACTAGGATTTTCTTTGACTGTCCTCTTATTGATCATTACGTCTTAAAATGTTCRAAGCTTCAAAGTGAAACCACTCGCTCCCTTCGTAGTTGCACTTAAGTTTTGAATATTTGAAGACGTTATCTATGATCAATAAGAGGACAGTCAATGAAAATCTATGAATGATTTATTAAATTGAGGAGAAAATGAGCGAGAAAAGTGTCGAGGAAGGAAGGAAAGTGAATAGGAAAGGAAAACGAAATAAGTAAGAAATATGTGATGGTTGTAAGCTGAAAACAATGAAGGAAGGAAGGAAGGAAGGAAGGAAGGAAGGAAGGAAGGAAGGAAGGAAGGACTGAAGGAGAAGGCAAAATCACTCTTACCTTGAATGGTAGTAGTTACCTTGTAGTAGCAGCTCAGTGATCTTGCTAGTAAAATCGATAAAACGATGCTCAAGAGCAACGCTTTAAATAGCTGTCTTTTCAACGTAGTTATACTTTCCACACCGTATATTGTTCGTCGGTGTGCAAACTACAAAGCTAGAAAGCGGTGTTTACTGAAGAAAAAAAACCAGATTCAATATCGGTTCTCTTGCCGACCTTGCGTTGAAACTCACTACTCAAGTCCTTTCTAGGTTCATTCGTGATTTATTTTCTACCACCCACTAAAACTTTCCAAACAACGCGTCCAAACAAGATAAATTTCAAGGCGGCATCGGTCGAGTAAAACACGATTCCGTTTCTATTTTCTGTTTATTTTAGAAAGCACTTGAGAAAGAATAGACCAAGGTCATAATGGGGATAGGATCGCAGAATCGTGAGGAATTATTTCCAGTTTCCCGAATCATGAGTTAAAAGAACCCATAAATTCCGAAAACAGGCCTAAAATCCCGTGTGCGCATGAGCTTTGCTAGATATTATCCCACATCGAACAACCAAATACAAATTCCTAAGATAGATCAGTTCTATTGAGATACTTTGGAGCGGCTTTCGAATGCACCAATCCCGCATTCATTGTTCTACCTCCCTAGTTACTGTTGCTATGTCGGACAAGATAAAATGTGTTTTTGATATACAGAATGGAACAGACACCGGTTTGAGGCCATATATTTCCATTGTTGCTATTTCAACGTACTAGTTTGTATATGGCTTAAGTTAATATTGGTTGAACCTAACTTTATGATAATATGAAACTTCTTTTGTCGTAAGTCTTCGCTTGTAGAAGCTCAAAGTCAAGCCTTAGGAAATTGAAAATATTCACTAAGTAGGTCAACTGATCTGAAATAGTGACGTAGAAATGACGTCACTGCACTACTGAGGTGTCATGAAGCTTGCGAAAATTGACCAGTGAAAACTAAAAACACATCCACTATTGCAATAAAGTTATAAATCCAAATGAGCATAAATAAGAGAGAGAAAAAAAAACTTCTTAATATCGCGCGCGCCATGTAAATTCCCGGTTGGGCTATTTTTAGAAAGCGGATACAGTTTAAATTCATTCTCGTTCCCAGAGCTCCTCGGCTTCGTTCCGACGGGTTCCGATGGGTAGGAACGAAGCCGAGGAGCTATGGGTACGAGAATGGTTTAAATTTTGCCTTACCCTACTCCCGTACGTCAACTAGAGCTAACACGCGTGCGCTCTTTCCGTTTGTTATTTTGATCTCGTTTTTAGTCATTTTTAGTGATTATTATAATGATGATGATCATGATGATAATAATAATGGGAGGTTCTTATATAGCGCATTCATACAACGTCCCAATGCGCTTAACATTTTTATGATTAGTGGAGCTAACTTTACGGGTTGCATATTAAGGCGCTATTGGTAGCCATGCAGCTTACAATCATGAGTCGACCGAGTATTTAATTAACCAGATACTAAACCTTATCCAAGAACAAGACCCTGGAGGCAGGATAGACTGGGATGCCTGGTCCAGTGAGATAGTTTACCGAGTCGCTTTAGAATCTAAAGGCTAAGTAAACATAAGTTGCTAAGTTTTGAAAGCCTGAAATCGAGCGAAGGGCATAAAAATACAATTCTAAATCAGGGGTTATATGCACTTTGGAGAATTGTAAACGTGTAAACGTAGCCTGACACTCAAAAGAGCGGTCACAAGGAAGTAGATCGTTTTCTCAAGATTGCGTGCGCATCCAAAGTTAAGGAACTTGACGGGCCATGCTACCAGAACAGGAGCTTTGTAATGAGAATTATCATACATTTCGAGAGGTCGACTTGTTCCTCTTGCATGATTTTCATTTGCGTTTCGCGCCAAAAAATGCGCGCTTGTATTTCTGTAGCACTCGCAAAAATTTCTTATGCCTTTTTTAAAGAGCGCGAGCATAACTGGACTCTGAAGATGACTTCTGTTCAGGTTGTCAAAACGTCAGTCACCACCAACAACAGTCTTCCTAAAGACTACACTCACCCGGACGAACACATTTCAAACTTTGAAAATTATGTTAACGAAGGAATACTTTAAATTTTGTTTTGGTTGGGGAACGGGTTAATAACTTTCTGAAAAAATAGCCCACTTCAAGCAAAATCTTTTTTTCAAAGGTTTTAGAAATCGCCTTCAACTATAAGGTTTCCAATGGTTTATCACACTGCCCCAAAATGCCTCGTTTTACGCTTAGAGCAGTAACACGGAACTCTTGATGGATGTGTTACCATCCAATAGCAAAAGCCATTAAAATAAGGCAATATTTTAATATGAGTAACAAATACTATGATTGTTAGACAAATTCTAAATTAAAGATATTTCAAGTGCTCCTAGTTATATAAAATATTGAGAGCAAATCACCAGAAGTTAAATTCAAGAGCAAAAGGATATCAAATACCCAAGTTGGAATGTCCTGTTGGTAATATTCTTTGAGAATGAATTCCAGAATTGCTAAATGTTACGAAAGCATTATTTTAAAAAGATAACGCTGTCATCTTCTGGGGTGCTTACCATTTAAACCAATCCATTGGGTTTGGATATGCATTCGCTAATAATAAGAAAAGAGCGGGAAACTTTGACTTTCGAAAAATGGTACACGCGTCTACCGGAAGAAACAAAAAGAGCGGGAAACTTTGACTTGTGAAAAATGGTACACGCGTCTACCGGAAGAAACAAAAANTACCGGAAGAAACAAAAAGAGCGGGAAACTTTGACTTGTGAAAAATGGTACACGCGTCTACCGGAAGAAACAAAAAGAGCGGGAAACTTTGACTTTCGAAAAATGATACACGCGTCTACCGAAAAAAACAAAAAGAGCGGGAAAAGTAGATTACCTAAATCGGAAAACAGAGAGACTTTCCGAACGGAATGATTCATACCATTTGTTTATCAAAAGGAATTTCTGGTTTTTCCGGGTAAATGGTAAGCACCCCTGGTTTTATGTTTTGTTGGGTCAAGTTAAGAGAAATAAGCCAGACTCTGGATTAGAAAGGTATTTTATCTACAGTGAAGGAGTGAAACCATTTTAAAATCGTTTTTGAACACCAACATCACGCATCTTGACAGAGAGGTATATTCAAGACACTTATAGAATGAGAGCAAATAGCTTCACTAAGATCCAAGGTGCTGTAGAAGTGATATGTTTGTTAAAGAATTCAGAAAATCCAGTGATCTTGTCAAAGGAGGTCGTCGGAATTTCTAGTTATCTGAATCTGGTTTGATGTATATTCCCTCCTGAAATCGAGAGGAAATTACATTTAGCTCATCCATTAGTAAAGGAATACATACTGTCCAATTTGAAAATAATTGGATGAAAAAATTCTGAGGACTGACAAAATTGGAAGACGCCGATAGGCCAAGTCCAATTTGGCAGTCAAGAAGAGTTTTTTGAATTCAATTATTTCCAAATTGGACAGACATGTAGTCCTATTGCAGATTAATCATATCATCCCACACTATACTAGGCTGATTCCATAAGTCATAGTTTTCACTCGAAAGAATGCGAATGGAAACCATGGTGGGATGGAATATTGAAGTCATTGTCAAAGGAATTAAATGTAGGGGAGAAGAAATACATTCCTGCTAAAACAAGATGTGCTAAAGGTGGTTGAACTCTTGCCTCATTTCCATGAAAGGACATGAAATGTACCAAAAACATCATAGTGAGGCTCATAGGTCCTTGGTTCTTGCTTACCATGCAAACTTTTTCAAATTACCGCTGTGTTCCTTGATTACAGACTCATTTGCTCAGGCTAAGCCTCAAATCAGTGCCTAATTACTCGCAAATACCAGTAAAAATAACAGTAAAGTAAAGAATGCACAAGTTCAACAATACGAACACTTTGAAACTTGACAGACCTTGACTGGAACACGTGAATATTCTTCACAAAATAGAGGCTTAGCCTGAGCAAATGAGTCTGTATTCAAGGAACACAGTGGTAATTTGGAACTCAAAAAGGGTCTATTTCGAACAGCTGTAGGTTTTTATCATTTATTGTTACTACACTGACATTTTGGAAGATCACTAATTTTGATATACTCTTTCTAATGAAAGCATTGTTGTCTCCTATAACTGATGAACTAAGGTATCTCAAGGGACACGCCTTTTTCATATGGTCTATAAATAGCAATGAAACAGCCCCCATGTTTGTTGATCTAACAAGAGAAGCTAATGAGGAATGCTTTGGTATCGTCAACCCAACATGGTGGCTATGATATAACATGCACCCCAAGAATAGGTCAAGGATTTCGTAAGCTCTGAGAGGTACAAGTGTACTTACCATTGCCTTCCATTCATTGCCAGTCTCAGGGTAACTGTATCCACTGATCTCTCTCTGCCCATTGATTGGTCTTCCAAACTGGTCTCCTGTTGTGTGCAGATATCTGTTGGATATGAAAACAAAAATGATCAACAGAAATTCTCAGACATTACTTGGGCTCCCTACTGGGCCAAAGAACCTTTTACATGAAGAATTTTTTTCCTGTAACCTGCAATGCAATGCTTATAAAAGTAGGACATTGAAAGTTGCAGGTGAGATGTCAGAAGTGCTCAAATTTTTTTGCAACATAGTTTTCTTGGCCTGCAATAAGATCAGATATCTGAGATATCTAACTGTGCTCGGATTGTTCATTTGATTGCATTATAGATTGTGGGATAGATGCTATTTACTGCAGCTTGCTATGTCATATTGTGAAAAGAAAAAGCTCATTCGGGGTCTTGAATACACAATTATGCTGGAATGCAATTACATTGCATTGTATTGCARGTAAAATCGAGTAACAGGGCCTATTTGAGAAAGGGAAACCACTCATGGCTATGACATTTTTTACCTCCTCTCCAGGGCGGAACTGTAAATCCATAATATATTTAACGAACTTATATTTTACAACCATCACTTACCACACACGGCTCTTCTGTGGAAGTTCACTACACTATACATTCTATGTTTACAACATACAATACTCAACTCACATGTTGATATTCACATAGGGAGAGAGGAAAACTAGAGAACCTTGTGAAAAACCCTCCTTGCAAGAGTTAGAACAACTAAATAAACAAACTCAACTCACATATGATCCAGTCTGAGCTGGGGCTCAAACTTGGACCAAAGCGGTTTGAGGCGAGCATCAGCAAAGTTCACATACATGTAATATTGAAAACCGCTATACGTGTACAAGTAGAGTATACTCACACGTTGGTTTCCCTATGCTTGAATCTTACAATCTGCTTCCTCTCCCAGTACTTTGTAGAACACACAGGTAACCATTCATCTAAATCATCCCCAACACCATCCTCACCAAAGGCACTCACTTCTTGATTGTGAGAGATAGGAGACTGGAAGTGGTGACTATGTAGGTTGCGCTTAGTCGCTAAGTGTTGTATTCTAATGGTAGAGCCACATTTTATAGGTGTTCTGTTGAGAATACATTTTAAACTGTTATTTCTACCACTTGAGCTGTGAACGAGGTGTTCAAAGCATGATTGGACGAAATGAACAAGCTAAGCATTTTTGGAGCTTGAAAGAATGAAGCAAGCATGGAGTTAAAGCAAAATTGTTTTTATTCTTTCTTTTCATATTTCTGCTTCTTGTAGGCACATACACCTATTTTGAAAATCGTTGTTGCACCAAGAGCCTCAAGTAACAAACCAAGGCTCCAAGAGAACGTYGGTACTGTACTTTTAATTATAATTGATTTATTCTTGGTTCATGCAAGTGGCTATAGCTCTCCACTAATTATCATCTCAAGCAGCCTTGCTTGGAGCAATTTGTGAAGTCAATAAATGAAAATGCACCATGAATAAACTAATTACAGCTAAAAGTACCGGCGTTCTCTGCGGTCTTGGCTTGTTGTTTGAGGCTTTTGGTGCAACAACGATTTTCAAAATAGGTGTAAATTAAACCAAGTTTAGTCAGAAGAAAACAGAAAAATATGCAAGGGTTACAGTAGCCTGGGAGTCAGCATTGTGATTGGCTGAAACAAAATTCAGCTAGTATCTCATTACCACTGTAGAGGGATCACATCCCATGAGATTGTGGCTGGCATGCGCAAGTCAGTTTTTAAAGCTCAAATATGAATGTTGAAGAGAATTGATACTGTAAAATACATTTTGGGTGTGACAAGCATGGCACCAAAGAAAATAATAGTCTTACCCTCGTTTACATGGATCTTCTACTTTTCCTTTTATTACCCAATAACTATTGCCATCATCAGGTGAGTCTACACCAGTAACAGACTGTAAAATTTAAAGGAGACAAAATGCTAGTGTTAGGAACTTCAATCAACTACAACTGAAATGATGTGCAGTAATGAACGTACATGTACTGTACTTTGCCTTGGTGCAAGGTTTACCCACTTTAAACAATGTGACGTTCCCAAGAGTATCATTTCTTTTCGTTAATGGTTACACATGGAAAGACGCATTGAATATACAGATACGACTCAAACAAAGAATCTTATTCTCAAGAGAAAAACACGAGGTCTGAAAGGGGGAAAACAATAAGCCCAAACTAAGTTGGTCTGTAGTACTAAAAAGTATAGTGAGCAAAGTGTATTAGATAAATATTGCTTGTGTACTGGGATAAATTGCTTGTTCCAGTCTATGTGAACAGAGTTGTTCTCTCCCTAGCCAGGAGGGTTTTTCTCCAGGTTCTCTGGTTTTCTTCTTTCTTTAAAAATCAACAACAATGTCTAGGAACATTAGAATATTTAATATAGTTGTAGTGTGTGAATGAACTGTAATATCCCCAAGTAGTATTTTTACACAAGTGAATATAATAAATGCGGCACGCTAATTGGTCACAATTTACATCTTATGCGCACGCCTATTCGTTGATTTGTGCCGCTTACAAAGATAAATAAAATTTGAAAAATGAAACAAAAATTATTATCCTTATTTATTATATATTCCCTTGTGTTAAAAATGCTAAAACAGTTATTCACCTCAGGGCCAGTGAATATCGGGGAATATTCACCTCACCCCTCGAAGACTTGTGTCTGTGTAAATATTTCCCGATATTCACATTGCTAATTATTGCAAAAATTCAAGAAGTATTTTTTCACAGTTTTCCGTGTTAGATACTCTGATGTAAACGTGTCAGATGCTGAGAGAGCATGAGAGAATTGTAGCAAACCACAACATGAAGCTTACAGTGTAGATTTACTATCAGAAAATAATCAATTTAACATAGACGATATGGAATTTCAAGACATTTTCATGTAAAACAAATGGTCACAAGCAAGAGAGGGAATTAGACGAGAAAAACTGTTTTCCACAATTTCGATATTTTGAGCAGCAAATCAGGTGAAGCCACGAGAAATGATTTGCATATATGCTAATGACATGACAGATTCAAAAAAATTTCTCAAGACCTTTTCCTTTACAAAATTTTGAGTATAAAATAAAGAAAAGAAGAATATCGAAAGAAATAAAAGGAATCGAATGTGATACTCTGAGAGCTGTTTTTTTTGTTTTGATAATATTTTTACGTAAAAACAGTCTGCTATTTCACAATGTCTTTCGAAATCGTATTCCAAGATTTCATTTTTTTACTTCCATCTAATTTAAATCATTTTCTTTGCAAAATTCAATAGCTTACATAGAAACCTTGACTTAAAATTTAAGATTATATATATTGTTTAAAATTTAAGAGAGTTTTTGAGTTAGTTTACGAAAGAAAATAAGAAAATATGAGGCAAGAATAACACTTGCAGGTTGTTTTAGGTGGAAAATAATTTGCACAAACCTGTTGTCCACTACCAGAACCATATCTAACTTCATGAGAGTGTAGCCTAACATTATGCTGTACATTTACGAGCTTAACAACACTTCCACAAGTCACAAATTTAAAATCTGTGGAGGAAAAAGGAGAGAATTATGACCAGTTCGTTAATTCGATACCCTGAACGAACTACCTACTGTCGACGGGAATTCAAACTTTTAAAACATTTAGAAGTTCTCAAACTCACCGTCCTTGTTTCCAAAGGCACATTGAGATATTACAGAAACTATGAGAATTAATAAATATGCTTTGAGAGCTGTTAAAGTTGGTAAAAATGAGGGTAAATGTGACGATAATGTGGTCGCCATGTTTGAATTGAGTCAAAAGGAACTGCAAAGCAACAACGCGGCGTCTTGGATGGCTAAGCCTCGATACCATGACGAAAGTGGACAAACAGGAGACAAACAGGAAAAACCGGTCAACCGGAAGTTAAATTTTTGCCAGAAGAAACGCAGGCTCTGGGTCCTTTTTTTCGTGCTCCGTTCGGTTCATAGTGTATATTGAACCTCGCCCAGTAAATAGACAAAAATGTAATAATATATGTAGATATAATATAGGAAAATGCTATCTGGAAAATAAAAAAAACCTTGAATTACACTGGGTTATCAGTTTGCCCGTACATGATTTTCAAACCTAACAAAGCTTTTCCTAAACTTTTGTCGGTAACGCCGTTATTTAGCGCATTATAAGAGGCGTGATTTATGCAAGTTTCATAATTTTGAAAAAGAAAAGCAAAAACATAGAAAAATTCGGAAAAGTGTTAAAATGATAGACCGCTGACTAGATGACGCTCAGCAGAGAGTTAAATTTTTATCAGCTCTCAGACGCCACACAGGGAGCCCGGCTTGGTAATGCTAAATCGGTAAAACGATCACGTTTCATATGTTGATGACAATACATAATAATCGTAACTCAATACACCCCTATTACAAACGGTCACTACGTAATAGAATACCAGTGTTTGTAACGCGTAACTTAATACCGTGATAAATTCAAATACGTAACGCACGCGTCTTACGGGGCATCTAACACTATTGCATTACAAGTTCTATTACGTAGTGACCGTTTGTAATAGGGGTGTATTGAGTTACGATTATTACGTAATGTCATCAACATATGAAACGTGATCGTTTTACCGATTTAGCATCACCAAGCCGGGCTCCCTGTGGACGCCATTGATTTTATCATAATCGGAAAATATAGTGTCAGAAACGTTGAGCCATCATCCTCAGCTTTCATTTAGCGTAAACTTTAGTCAGAAAGTAACGAAAATTTTAAATCTACGTTTTTTGAATCTTTATACTTGTCGTCATAATGAAGATTATAAGAAGTGACGCCGATAAAACCAGACCGTATCCAGTCGTCACTGCACTCACGCTTTTTTAAATGTGCGCGCGACGGCTTTTGGGAAGGAGCTTTGCTTTTCTCTTCTTTCCTTCCCTTGATGCACCGCGAACTCACTAAATTCTTCCCATCAACCACAGCGTGAGATTAGTAAGACAAGAGAAGTGACTGGGTACGAATCTGATCAGAAACAGTGACGTTGCAAGACGTCAATGCAAATCTTAGGTGCCATCATGAAGCTTGCAAAAATTGAACTGTGAAAAACATGCCCGCTATTTCAACTGAAAAATATATAACTCATTAATTATTGCGTCGCTCTTATGAAAAGGTCATTAGCAAAGTTATTTTTGTCATTTGGTGGCCTCAAATACAAAGCATTCAGTCGAGGTTGCAAGGTTCAAATTTAAACAATCCTTTGAAAGTACCTTGGCGCGTGGCTTGAGCGCTTTGTGATTGACCAGTGAACCGATGTATGGAAAATAGTGAATACTAAAAAATATATTACATGCTATTGAAGGTAACACAGAGCAAAAAGAGTACCCGAAACAGTAGAGTATTAACAAATCTTTCATATCATCCTTCATATTTTATCAAACCCTAAAACAACCTCTGAACTATTCTAAGTAAGGGCACGGCTATCTCACACATCATACTTGAGTTCTCCCCCCTTGAGTCCAACTCCATATCCGGGGAGTGGGAATCCCGATTGGAAACGGACGGGAATACTCATCGTACCTTTTTCGGGTTCCAGATCTGCAGTTTGGTACCTCTTAGGGTGTCAAAAATCTAAAAGGACTACCAGAGAGTAAGCCAGTACCTCTTAGGGTGTTTTTGAGGCAATAAGATACCTGAGATTATATGATGACAGTCAGTTGTAAATCAGGACTGATATTTATTTTCAAGTCATTATCTGACTTCTTTCACTTAGATCATAGATAATATTAGTACTTTTTAAGAGATAAAAATGATTAGTAGTTGCCACGCCCAACTGGAAAGGACTCGGGTCATTTTCGAAATTACCGACGACCATCCCAGCCCTTCAATATATTGGAGTAACCCCCTGGGCTCCATATACAGAGCACTCATTCTTAGTTAACGGGACCATTTGATGTCGCACATTAATAGATCACTATCTTTTTTTTTATCTTATCACCAGAACCACTTCTTGCTACTGCGATAGCTGTTTAGCGAATCCTCAAGACAGCCAGTGTTCTTGGAAAGCAGCCATTCTACGACAGCCTAGCACGTCAAGTGTTCACAACGAGCTTGTGGTGAAGATCGATGATTTTGTTGCAGCCTCATATGACGGAGAATGGTACATTGGCAAAGTGCAGGAAGTGGATGCAAATGACGGCGAGCTGTTGTTAACCTTCATGACAAGGAGTGGAAAGAACCCCCAAGCATTAAGTTTTCGAT